GGCTGGTTTGGGCGTAGAGTAGGGAGACTGGAGGGATTGGAATGGGGCGCGATCACTTCTCCTCTCCACACCACCCCGGCACTAACGCCTCACCCCTGTGGTCTCTGCCCCCTGCCTCCTGATGGGTGTACCCCCACCCCAGCATTCCACACTCTCCAGGAAGTTCGTGGAAGTAATGACTGAATATAACGCGACCCAGTCCAAGTACCGGGACCGCTGCAAGGACCGGATCCAGCGGCAGCTGGAGATCAGTGCGTGCGCCCCCTCCACACCCCCCAGGCCCCCGAGCCTCCTTCCAGGCCCCTCCTCCGCGGGGGGGACGCTGGCCCAGGGCCCGGGGAAGGGTGGGCTCCCGGGTCCCTGCCCCCCCCAGCGCAGCCCGGGCTGGCCCACCCCCATGGAGCCCTTCCTCCCCACAGCCGGGAGGACCACAACCAACGAGGAGCTGGAGGACATGCTGGAGAGCGGGAAGCTGGCCATCTTCACCGATGATGTGAGCCTCGGGCGGGGGTGCGGTCTGTTTTGCAAAGCAGTTGCCTCTCCTCCCCAAACTGAGGTTAACCTAAGTCAAGGTCCTAAGTCCACCCTGGAGTAACCGGCATCGGAAAGCCTGGGCCTGGAACTGGGGAATTCCATGGCACCCAGCAGGAAGGCACCCCCGTCAAAATGGCAAACAGTCGTGTGCCAGGCATCGTTTGAAGCACTTTACATATTTACATCTACCTACTAACCTCGTTTGATCCTCGCCACAACCCTCTGAGGGAAACACGTTTCACAGATGAGAAAACCATGCCCAAGAGGTTGAATAACTTGCTGAGGTCATACAGCTGGAGGCAGAGCCAGTGTTTGAATCCACAGTCTAGGTCCAGGCCAGGACCCTTCAGTACTGAGAGACAGCTCCCCCCTGATGCAGGTTATTTCACCCAGTGACTGCTTTGCCTATCTTTTGAAGATTTTTAAAAACCCTGTTTTAATTTTGCACACTGTCCTGCCCTTGTCATCTTACATGTGAATGGAGGGGCTTCCCTCAGCTGTATTCTTTCTCTTTGTTAAATTTTACCCTGGCCTGCCCAGTTCTGTCTGTTTATGCTTCTGGTAGCAGAATGGCTCTGGTTAAGGTTTCTAGACCAGGATCAAAGCATGTTCAGTGCTTCCTAGCATGTTGTTTCTTAGGTAATTGGTCTTTGTTAAATTAGCTTTAAGCAAATTGATTGCGGGCAGTTAGCCTGGAGCTCTCCAAAACAGCTCTGCCCAGGCTGTTTGTCTGAGAATGGAGGGAAGCCTGGCGAGTGGTTCTAAGGAGGCAGGGCTATCCCTGCCAGTTAACCCCCCATTACAATGCAGGGCGGTTGGTACCTTGTTTGAGGGCTGAGCAAGATGCAGACATGCCCTGTGGTAGTAGTTAACTTCTACAGTCAGGGAGGCTTACTGGGAAGTGGCATTGAGATGGGCCTTAAGAGACGAGCCTTTGAACATGGGGAGATGGGCAAAGGACAATGGACAAACGGAACAGACTGTACAAAGACAGGGAGAGTGGACCACTTGCCAAACAGCCATTGGATGATTTTGGCTCTTATAGGATATGCAGGAGATGAGGGCAGAAAAGGAGCCTGGGCCTTGACTGCTAAGATAAAGGTGTGTAGCCTGTGGGTAGTGGGGAGCCCTGGTGGGTTTTACAGCAAAGGAGTGTCTTGATGTGGTCTAAACAGTGAGAGCTCTGGGAAGTGAGTGGCCTGGCTCAGGTCAGGCATTTGTGGGGAGGTGTATCTAATTGTGGGTTGGAGTCCCTCTTCCACTGGTTCTTGAAGCTGCAGTGCACTCCTTTATTATTTCTCCCCCATCTCGTGTCATGGGGGCTCCAGGGGAATTATAGGCACCCTGCCTTCTCATGTGGGCCTCCTCTGCTTGCTACTCTCTCTCTCTCTCTCTCTCTCTCTCTGCTGTGTCTTCTTCCATTTCCCTATCTGTTTTTGACCAGACGGGGGCCTCACATACTGGTGGGGGCCCTGGACCCCTGTCTCCCTTCCTGGGGCTTGTGTGATAGAGGCGGCCCTGGGCTAAGGTGGTGAGCTGGGACAAGTGCTACTTCTTTTCCCCCCCAAAATACATCTTTATTGATTTCAGAGAGAAGAAGGGAGAGGGAGAGAGAGAGATAAAAACATCAATGATGAGAGAGTTATTGATCAGCTGCCTCCTGCACGCCCCTCACTGGGGATCTTGCCTGAAACCCGGGCACGTGCCCTGACCGGGACTCGAACTGCGATCTCNCCTGTCTCTTATACACATCTAGATGTGTATAAGAGACAGCTCCTGGATCATAGGTCGATGCTCAACCACTGAGCCATGCTGGCCGGGGACAAGTGTTACTTCTTGTAATTTAACAAACCTGTCCTTAGTGCTTCCTGTATGCCAGGTACTATTCTGGTCAATGTACACATATTAACTTATTTAATCTTCACAGCAACCATGAGGTGGGCACTATTGTTTATCCACGTGTTCTGAACAGGGAGCGGGGAAACTGAAGCCGAGAGAGGTTAAATAATTTGCCCACGGTTACAGCTAGTGAATGACAGCCAGATTTGAACCCAGATGCTCTGGCTGCAGACTCTGAGCTCTCATGGGAGTGAAAGGTGGTCTTCAGCAGCCCCTCCCCCATCGCCCTAGATCAAGATGGACTCGCAGATGACAAAGCAGGCACTGAATGAGATCGAGACGAGGCACAACGAGATCATCAAACTGGAAACCAGCATCCGCGAGCTGCACGACATGTTTGTGGACATGGCCATGCTCGTGGAGAGCCAGGTACTGCCTCTGCCCTCTGCCACACCACCTGGAAGCCTCCCCCAGCTCCCTGGGGTTTCCTCTTCCAGCCCAGCCCCACCCCTCCCCGTGCACATCCCCTCTGCAGGGCGAGATGATTGACCGCATCGAGTACAACGTGGAACATTCCGTGGACTATGTGGAGCGAGCCGTGTCCGACACGAAGAAAGCTGTGAGATATCAGAGCAAGGCCCGGAGGGTGAGCTGGGGCAGAGCAGGGCCTGTGGGCAGGAGGCTGGAGCTGGGTGGG